CGCTAAGATAGACTCGCTTGTTGGCGATGTCAAATGTGAAACCGGTGTATTCAGTGGTGAAAGCGAAGTCATGACCCTTGTCGGCCAAATCGTTCCAAACGATACCGAGCGGCTTACTGATCTCGAAAATTGTTGCCAAGTCGTAGCTGTAAGTATACGAAATGGAACCGTCGGCTGAAGAGATGGATGAAGTGGGGAAGCGAAAGAATTCATAGTCGTCGACCCATTTGGGTACGGGACCGATTCCTTTGGCGCCCAAAATATCCACAAAGGCGTCCGCGACCGTGCCTTGGACGTTACCCGAAGTACGAAGTCCAAAAGGGAATGTGTGATCCGGCCAAATTGAGTCTCGCCAAAGGACAGGAAGGGCCCATTTGTGCTTGGGAACTACGGGTGAACACCGAAAAGCATGCGCCTGATCTAGGCTGGCAGCTTGTGTCCCAGGAGGAGCATTCGCGATCTGCGAGTGATAAATGAATGAATGGCCAAATAGACACGGAATTAAAGGAATGGGGCCAAATCGGCACAGAATAATAAGGAATGAAGCCCTAATGGCTTGTAATAATGGCCAAATTGGCACGGAAATAGCCCAAATGGACATGGAAAGGACGCCAAATCGGCAGTGAATAAATCAAATGAAACACTTACAATATCAGCCATGTCTGCACAAGTGTGCCAACGAATAGAAATATCTTTCGCATCCAGCCACGAGTTGGTGGAGTCACCGACGGTGTCCAAAACAGAGTTGTTCTGGATCATCCGCCATTTCCCGAGGCCGGGCTCCTTCTCCACCAGACCAAGTGGAGCGGTGCGAAAGTGGCCTCCAAAAAAGGAGTGGGCTTCTTCAATGGTATATGGGCCACTCATCCGGCCCGCAGTGACCTCGCCCGCAAGATAATTATCGATAAATGAAGGATTGAGATCGGTGGTAGGCATATTAGGAGGAATGAAAGTTGAAGAAGGAGAGGGAGGGTTGCCGATTGGCGAACCAAAGGAGATATCGTGTACAAGATTAGGGTATCGCTCGAGCAGGTTACAGTCACGTAGAGCCCTCGACCATCCTGCCGGCTGGTAGGGCGTGACGACCTTCGAGAAATCAGTTGCGAGTGCAGTCAACCGCTCCATGCTGAGGGTCGCCGCAGAGGGAGCAGATATGGACAGCGTGGTTGCGAGCGGTTGACTGGCATTTCGCGCAGTTGAAGCCCATGCAAACGGCCCGATTGTCGTGGATTCGAAAGAGCCCCTCACGGTTCGCGAGGATGACAAATTCGCGCCCATGCCTATTCGGATTGACTTCGGAGCAGGAGCCTGCGCCGTGGCCTGTTCGGCCGCACCGAAAGCAAAGTATAGCCTTCCCGCGCGATTTGTTATCCTTGTCGTAGGGCTTGACGCGCTCAGACTTTTCCTTGGTCGAGTGCGAGTTCCCATGTAGTCCACCTTTCGAGTTGGAAGAGCTGGGCGACTGATTCGACATGAGAAAGGAATTTTTAGCAGACTGCAAGGCGGCACGATACTCAGCATTCTCCACATCAATGATGAACGGAGAAGTGAAGAACTGGGCACGGATTCTCCTGTCAAAATCCCGATAGGCCGGAAACCAGAGTGAGAGATCCGGGTCGGAAAGGATTTGATTATAGTGGCGAGCAAAACTTTTGACAATGTTTTCGCCAGCCGTTGCCTCCAAGAAGGTGAGGAAAGTGTTGTAGGAGGTGAACCAGGTAGCCTGGTTCAAGGTTTCCTCGTCCGGAAAATCTGTAAGGTCGATGACCGTGACCTTCGCCGTTTCCCCAGTCCCATGTTTCACCGTCTTGACATTGCTAGAGCGGATTCGCTCCAACGACGCCGGCAGAAACAAGGTCAAGGAAGGCGAAATCCCATTCTTCGCCAAAGAAAAGATGGCCGCAGGAATAGAATTGTCGTTCGCACGGAAGGCATTCTTCTCCGCGACGAGGTCATCGAAGAGAAGTTTGGACTCCGAAGGGACATCTGTGGACTTCGGCGGAACAACTGTGTCCTTGTCGGTCTGGGAATTCTCACCGGCAGGGACCACTACGACGAAAGGGGTCAATTCGTCCTCCTCATCCGCCGAGACGTTCTCGTCCCCATCAGTTCTTCTCTCTGCCCGTTTGACGTTCCGTTCCTTACGCTGGTTCTCGTATTTATCGAGTATCTTGAGCGCGTCGTTCGAGAAGACGACGTCCCCAGGCTTTCGTCCGGGCCCCAAGATAGGGGCTCCACCGCGAGGTCCCCTCATGAAGTTACTTGTCCTCCCATCGACTCCGGCATTATCGGTCATGGTAAAATAGAGAATAGGGGGTAGTAGAGGTAGAGTATAGACAACGAAGTTCAGCACTGTAAAACTCGAGTGAGTCGGAGTCAAGTGAAGTTAATGATCGATCACTTTCTCCGCACTCTCTTAGTCAGCCGGCTTTGTGCTCTAGCTCGCAGGCTCCCTTAGAGCTCAAGCCTTCAAATTCGTATTGGATTGTTGATTGGAGGCTAAATAAATGCTATACGTGCAAGCCCTACCTTGAGGAGCTCTTGTCTGAATTGTGACGGAGACAAGGCCCAGTTAATGGCATAGCATAGTATTCTACCTGATTGACTAGCTAAGATATCTCGCCCTGACATACATTCATCCCACACCCTCATAGCACCCTCTCGCGATTCCCTTCACCTCCCCCGACTTACACTCGTGCCTCCCTCTCGCGACAGCTAGCATACTCAAATGTATTTACGTGCCACATAGGCCCCTTGAGGCCCACTCGCATAATGGAATTTTGAATTGAAATAGCATAGTACTCGGAAATTCTCGACATCGGGCACCCCGTCAATCACTGTCAACCCCGTAATGGTATAGCATAGTACTCAAAAATTCAGTCTGCCCTCAACACCCGTTTTCTTCAATTCCTGTCACGAGGCGTTGTACCTCCTCCCAGCGGCGAAAATATTGAGCTTCTTCCCCATCGAGTTCATCAGGAGGATTCCAATAGTCGAAGTTGATCGACGCGCGAGGAAAGACCGCAGAGAGGAAGATAGTCACCCTGCCAGTGTCGTCGATTGCTGAGGCTCCGATATCTATCAGTTTGAGCCTGGTTTGGGAGGCATCCCTCGCAACCGTGTCCCACTCCGCAAGTCCAGTCGCGTCAAAATTTATCCCCAGCACTTCAAGATTCGGACAGTGCTGGGCGAACGCGTAAAGTCCGTACAGTGTGACACTAGAGCTTATGTTGGAAGAACCATTGATGAGTTCAAGCCTCTCGATTAGAGGCCAGGCACAGGCCAAATCGGAGATGTCCGCATCGCTGAGGTCAAATCCGCACGAGGGGTTGAGCCATACATGTACCAAATTGGCGAAACAGAATAGCGTGCTTAGCACATCGCCGGTGATTGCATTCATCGTTCTGTCGGAATTTTCATCAATGGGGGAATCAGAGTCGATATTGATGGTTCGAAGGGATTGGGACCGACAATTGGTCGCGAGAGCGGAGTAAAGTCGTTTGTATGCATCCCCTGTGGGGACGTCATAAAGGGATTCGATCCATAATGTCTGGAGCGGGCAATTGTGGAAGACATCGATGAACGCAATGACACATTCGAAGGTGGTGGAATCCAATAACAGAGTTTCGAGGAATGAATATATATGAGGTGGCGAGGTCGTGTTATCGACGGGGCGGAAAGGCATTCTGGCCGCTACCAGCTGCAGGAGCTTCAAAGTTGAAAGGCTGCCGAGGTACTCTAATGCCTCTCGATCGAGATCTTCCGCCGTGAGAGACTCGACGCGTCGCAGGTTGAGAACGAAGGCGGAGACGCTTCGATACGCCGATTCATCATACTGTTCGTCGAGCCCGGTCGTGATCCTCGCGCACGTCAACACTGAGGTATATTGAGCCGTCAAAGTTGGGACGACCTCGGATAGCAGCGCAACCGAAGGTCCAAAGTCGAGATCGAGTTCCTTGATCCGGGGAGAAAACAGAAAGTCGATCCAATGTGTGGTTCGCACCGGATTCTCGTCCTCGTAGCCGAGTCTCAATGCGAGGGCTTCGAGATTGGGAAACAGATGACCTCCTGGCCAGTTGCTGCAGATGGACTCGGATAAAGAGGTCCTTGCGAGCCAAGTGGCCCGCTGCCACATATCCAACCGTTTGACGCGGAAAGAGTAGAAAAGAGGACGCTCCCAGTCCGTGGGCGACATAGAGCGAAGAGCGCACTATACATTAATCAGCACGGACTTCACCAACATTTGCTATAGCGTCTGGGACTCACACAATCTATTGTGGATCCATCCTGATTGGCCACTTTTCGGACCACACCAGCGGGGAAGCAACCCAGGATATTCGCAATGGTATCCTGAGACTCCCATAAGTAATTGAGGGCCGAGTCCAGGAACGCTGTGCATGTCCTGGCGAGCGCTGCAAGAGAATGTGTATCGCGTGCATCGTATGGGGGTTCTCGGACCTGAGCGAATATGTGGCCAACTATCTCAGGAAGACTGAGGCTGCGATGCATTCTGAAGAAGTGGAACGCAAGTTGTCGACGTGGCAGCAACAAAGGCGGCCGTGCAACAGGGATCAACATTCGACACTGCATTTACGGAAAAAGAACTCCGACCGCTTATCACCGACGGCTGGTCGGCCGACATTGAACATCGTTACTAGTAAACGGTCAAAATTTCCCGGGGGAGGGAAAGAGCACCGGTGCGACATGCCTTGAAGCGAAATTGCTCAGCCATTTTCAGTGTCGAGCACGGAGTTCGACTCCCCGCCGACGCAGGACTCTCTTCTCAGGGGTTTTTTCTTCCGTCGTTCGTCGTCAGTTAGTGGTTGGTTAGTGGTATGCGGATCATCTAAGAATGCATTTGGCAGTGGAGGATGGAAAAATTCTACTGCAATGTTCGGCTCTGCCGGGGATTGCAAATATAAAATGAAGTTCCAACTCGCCCAAGGTAAGCCTATTCAATATACTTATCCCTCTAATCTACGTCTCAGAGGAGGAAGGGAGCACCGGTAGTGTACGGTACACCCGTTGAATGATTTATTGCAAACGTTCATAAGACGACGAGCGCGGGGTTCGACTCCCCGCCGGTGCATTCCGCAATGAAGACCTTGTTTTTTCTTCTCATTTTTTGTGCCGGAGACTCAGCCAATCTAACTTTTCGTTGGTTCCGCCCTCCGGATCCAGAGTCGACAAACCCAAGTTGGAACACAAATGTGAAGCCATCCACCTCCGAATGCATCGCATTAATCTGGCCGCTCAGAGGAAGGAGGGAGCACCGGTGGTGTACGGTACACTCGTCGAATTATTAGCGACCTCCGAGTCCGACTTCAAGACGAAAAGCTCGGGGTTCGACTCCCCGCCGGTGCATTCAATCGTAGGCAATGTTTTTCTTCTTCTCATTTTGCTCGTGCTCGCTAGGATGAAATTATTGTTGTACCGGAACTGAATAAATTGTAGACATCCAGCTCGTCTGCAGGTTTAACTTTATTCCGGCTTCCTGAGTCAAAATGTAAAACTAACTTCTAACCTAATTCTCCCCAAACCCCGCCTATCCGCCTCCGATGCATGGTACTAATATAGCCTCTCAGAGAAAGGATGGAGCACCGGTGGTGTACGGCACACCCGTCAAGTTGTTGAGATAGCCTAGACGTAAGACGACGAGTTCGGGGTTCGACTCCCGACGGTGGCACCGTCGGGGAGTCGAAGGTGCATAGAAAATTCAGCGAAGTTTTTTTTGGCCTTTGTTCGTAGTCATTGATCATGAGTGATGGCATATTCCAGAATTCATTTTGCAACGGAGGATAAAGGAATTATACTGCAACGTTAGAGGTTCAAAATATAAAATCGAATTCCAACCCAACTCCCTCAACCCGCGCCGATCCACCTCCGAATGTATCCCAGTAATCTACCCTTATCACAGGAGGAGGGAGCACCGGTGGTGCCGTCGAATTATTACCACCAGAGGAAATCTGTAAGACGACGAGTTCGGGGTTCGACTTCCCGCCGGTGCATCCTGCTCAGGACGTCTTTTTCCTTTTTCTTTTGTCTTTGCTCGGTCAGTAACACTGAACGCGCCCAACAAAAGAACAAGTCTGAACTGGATGACTGGTGTACGTGTTGGAAATTCCCCTGCTATTTATTTGTTTGTTTCTGGACAAATCCCAGAGTTCAACGACGTTGAACGTCGCTCCCGTGGAATTGCGCCATCGGACGCCATAATTGAATCCGGGGTCAATTCCGCCGGAACGTCTTGGTCAATTGACAAGCGTCAAGGAGGCGCGGCACCCGCATGGTTTTTGATGAGGGTTTCGGCCTTCCACGTGGCTGACAAAGTCGGATCATTCCGAGGTCCATGTTTCTCAGATTCTCACCGTCCATATCGCTGCTTTTTGAGCTCTCCTCTGAGATTTAAACAATATGTTGGAGCACACCTGCGTCGAGCGTCTTCACGATGCGCCCTGCCAAGGTAGGTAGGCACACTGCATCCGCCTCCGCTAAGCGGTTTGAAGAAACATGCGGACCATGGCGGAGCCATGTGTTTTGTCCATCAAACACACGCTCGTTATCGCAGCCACCACACGTCCCTCCCCATCCCCCATACCACATCGCCTTAAAGACTTGTTAAAGACCACCCAACACTCGTTCCCCCACTCTCGTTTTTGTCCCCATGTTGTCGTCGCTCCTTATCCTCGCCGCCGCCGCCGGCCTGGCCCAAGCAAAATCGTGCGTGTCTGCGTCTTTTCTCTCATACGATCGCTGAAAAAACCAAAGGTCTAGCGACCCATGCACCGTCGCATCGGCATCGACTTGGGTGTCCAGCAAAATCGCACACGCGTGCGAGCTCAATGTCCCGTTCAACAAGACCCGCAGCTTGGCCGTCGTTGACTCCAACATCAAGGCCCTGCCGTGGTACTCGCTCGAAACCTGGTTCCAGCACTCCCCCAACCCCCTCATCCCCCACGACGTGAACATCAGCTCCCTCCTCCGAGGTGCGTTATCGTTTCATCTACCCTCACGAAGCATGCTCACAGAAATGATTCAGCCGTCCAGCACAAAGCCTCCACGTCCGGCTACCCGACCGACTGGGACTTTAACATCGCCGTGCGTCCATTGCTTAGTATTCTCTGCACTCATCGCTTATATTTCGCCAGGTCACCGACGCATGGAACCGCGAAGCAGACGGCCACACCCTCTTCTCCGCAGACTGCACCGAGTCCTTCAGCTACAATCTCCCCTTCTCCATTGCCACTCTCGCATCCACCCCCACCTCCCCCACCGCCTACCCCACCTTCCTCGTCAACTACGACTTCCCCAACCAGGGCCGCACCGGACTTGAAACGTACTTCGAGTCCCTCAATGTCCACGTCCGTCCGTACGACGGCGCGCGGATCCTCGCCATCAACGGACAGGACGCAAGCGCGTTCCTCGTGGCGCTCGCGAGCCAGTCGAGCATCTACGACGGACTCGTCGGCGCGTACGAGACGCTCAACCCGCGCTATATGCGCCTCATGTCGCGCTACTCTGCCGACACCACGTCTGGCGTCTTCACCCAAGAAGTCGGCCGTTTCGGCCAGCGTGCGTTCTATCCCGGCGCCGACTCTGTCTCGCTCCTCCTTGAGCTGCCGAAAGGCGGGCTTAAGGCGCTCAGCGTGCCGTGGGCGGCGACGTTCCTCGGCTCGGGGAACACAACTGCGTCGTTCATCGCCGAGACGTGCTTGCTGCCGGCTGCGGTGGAGAGTAAGCGCGCTGTGGTGGAGCGGAGGGCGGATGATATTCCCGCGCGGATCACGCGCAAGAAGGGCGTTGTGCGCCCCGATAACCAGGGTCCTATCCGCACGGCGGCGAGCGAGGCTAAGCTCGCTTCCACGGGCAATTCCGTGCAGCCCAACCGTGCGTCCCTCATTCCCATCAATCCCACTACATTTGACTGACATTATTGGCAGTGACCTCCTTCGGACACATCACAACCCTCGACGTCTACCAGCTCGCGGCCCACCCCCATGTCGGCGTGCTCTACTTCGAGCAGTTCGAACCCTCCGATGGGACGGACTTCACAACCTACATCAACGGCATCTCCGCGACGCTCTACTCGGGCCTCAACGCGCTCAAGGCCGCGGGCGTCAAGCACGTCTTGATCGACAACTCGGGGAATCGCGGCGGGTATATCTTCGCGGGCGCGGTGGCGCTGTGGAGTTTGTTCCCGACGGATCTGTACCCGGGGTTCCCGGCGGTGTTCCGCGACACGGACATCACGAGGAGGGAGGCGGCCGCCGCCGCCGCGTCGCAGGATCAGAATAGCGAGTATTATTATGGGTTTTATCGCGATGTGCGTTTCCTCTTCTCCCCTACTCTTCACAAGCACGCCGCTAACGTCCCCAAAGCTCGAATATAACCTCCTCACGAACTCCTCCCAATTCATGGACCCCGCCGTGCCGCAGACGGTGAACGGAATCAAGGACGCGTACTCTCAGCCGTTCTTCGACGACTTTGGTGCCGTCGCGGACGTGACGAACTTCACCGCTCCCGCGTTCAACGCCACCATGGACTTTGTCATCGTCGCCAACAGCATCTGCGCGTCGACGTGCTCCATCTTCTCTTCCTACCTCTTCCAGAAACACGGTGTCCGCTCGGCCGTATTCGGTGGCACGCCCTCGGCCAAGACCTCGCAGTTCGATGGGGGCGTCAAGGGGTCGGAGGTCACCGACTTTAGCTCCGTACTCAGCGAGCTGCAGCTTGCCGGCATGGACCAGGAAGACGCCAGTCCCAAAGCGTTCCCCGTGCAGGCGTCGTTGAGCATGAACTTCCGGAATGCGATCCCGTATGTGGAGAAAGAGGACGGGATACTGGAGTATGTGTGGGAGCAGGGGACGAAGAAGTATCAGTTTACGGAGGGGATGTTTAATAAGCCGCAGGAGGTGTGGGAGTTTGTGGCGGGGGAGTTTTTTGGGAACGCCTAGAGTAGGACTATTTATTGGTGCATAGATGGTGTATTTGTAGGGGTGTAGGTGCGAGTGTAGATAAAATAATTATAGAGACGATGGTGCTCAACCGGAAGTCGATCGAATGCATTCAACCAGTCCACCCGCACGTGAAGGGGAGGAACACCTGTGGTGTACGGGTTACAACCTACATGAGGCGACGAGTACGGGGTTCGACTCCCCGCCGCTGCATGTTGTTAAAGTCTTTTGGCTTCTAATGTGCCAAATCAACTCTCATTTTTCCAGGTACCGCTCGCTTTTTTTTTGAATGACCTGGGGCCACATCCGTTTTACGAGCCAGGCATCCTGGATCACACTCACGCAGACCAACCGACTGAAATTATTCCAACTCGCCCAACAAAACGTGCCTCCAATGCATGACACTAGTTTACCCTCCCTCGAAGGGGAGGAGCACCGGTGGTGTACGGTACAACCGTTAAATTATTTCTGCCATGAGTACGGGGTTCGATCCCTCGCCGGTGCATGCTGTTGCTTATTACGCTTTTTTTACCCCTCCATTGGAAAGAACTTTGTGGTCATAAGGTTGAACATTCCAAATTCAAAAAGCGAAAACGCCTCAGCAACTCGTACACATGGTTTTGCTTGGGCAGGTAAGTCGAAAGCATTCTACAGGAATCGAAAGTCCCTCCTGAGCACGTTCGTTGTATAGCAACATCGAGCAAAGGCGCTTCCTATCGCTTCCTGTCTATCCATAATCTTCTTGATTCGCAAGGTAGGATATATTCTAGCCCAAGAGGTCGACCATGAGGATGTCGTTCCACAAGAAAGAACGCAAATCACGCACCTTTAGTCTCCTCTGAACGGCGTTTGCTAACAAACTCATCCGCTCTGACCCAATGATCCCTTCCACCGCGCGCACCCGTCTCCCACTCTAATTCACGATGTCTGACCCCAACCAGCACAAATCGCGGATCACTGGCGAGAGATTCGTAGTTGAGGGTAAACACGTCCGGAGCAAAAAGGATGGCGAGGACCTGAAGGGACTTGCAGTGCAGAAGCGCACTGTGGAACATGGTCATATCCTCATAGTCGTCACGGAAGGAGAGATGGGTTAGGCAAGGCATATCCGCGAGGCCGGACCAGAATTTCCACC